ATCATGTAAATTATCTGAATTTCCCTTTGTTTTTAAAATAAACTGTTTCTGTAAATTGAAAATATTTAGCAAAAGTTTAAATAATATTTATTGAAAAAAATGTATACATTACTAACCGTTGCAGTAGCAAATTCCTCGCATTTCAGTTTCTCGTCCATTTCCAATGCTGCAGCTATCGTTGTTATTGGTAACGTGGAGGCAACTTCGGTTTGCATACTATCTATTTCTTCACCAGTCAGTCGGCATACTGAATTTTGAATTTTCTAATTAAAACCTTACATTCGCACACAGTTTTTTGTTGGGCCATTTCTTCGCTTTTATGAATTATCTAAAAAGAGATATGTATGTATGTATGCAGTTAGAGGATACAATAACAAAACAATATGTTCTCTGTATTGATGAATACTTACAGAACAATATAAACTTACATTTTCTTTCATATAGCTGCCCATATTTTTCTTCATATTGGATACTCTTGTCGTCAATGCTTCTAATTGTGCAGAAATAGTTTTTAACATATTAAAAACTTCTGAAAAATGTTATAAACATAATAGAGAACAATACATTTTAGAAAAGTATTGGATTACCATTTCTATCCACAGCAGAGATCTGCATGCGCTGCTGTTTCTCTGACTTTAAGCCTACTTACATTAAAAGAAGTGGATGACTGAACACCAGGGCAAAGCATGCAGTGAAAGCGCACACCACCACCGCATGTGACGATCAATTTAAGTCTGCATATTAGAGATGGCAAGTATTTGAGTACCTGTGACTTTGTCACTGCTACTTAAAAATCACTGGTCACAGCTGTGACAAGTTTTCTAAAATAGCAGTGACTAGAATTAACGAACACATGGGAAACTTCAACAAAGAAGCAGTCACAGTATCACCTGAAAAGTTGCGACTGTGACAAAATATCATTCGCCGTGGAACATAAAGAATTGCGACTGTGATAAAATAGCATTCACAGTGAAACATGAAAAATTGCGAGTGTTGCAAAATAGCATTCACAGCGTAACATAAAAAATTGCGTGTGATGAATTCATATTCATTAAAGTTATGAATTCTTTTCAATTTTAGATAAGTAAAAATTGGTTAACATACAAAAAGTTACTTTAACTTTAAACGGGTAATACTTATGTACAAATTAAATTGATTACAGAAACCTCAATGCGGTAGTAAAGCCAATTATAAAACTTTTAATCTTAAAATTGCATACATTTATATAGTAATTAAAAAAAAAACTTATAAAAGGTATTATATAAGTTATAAAAGGTATTTTATAAGTTTTAGTATGTATTAGTATGTTTTCGTTTACTTTAAATAGTTTCTATTGGGTATCCTTATGTTGAAAAAAAATCCTTCAGAGAATATATTTATTGTGACTTTAAAAATGTGCTTCTTAAAAAATAACGGATCATTTACATTCATTTTTGTACGAAACGGTTACAAATCAGTTTGCTTATACTTAATACAAATTAAAGATGTCTTGTGTCAAAAAGAACCAAAACAATTGTG